GGGGGGAGGGAGTCTGAGGGGGTTTTTGTTAGATCAGGGCATAATCTGGAACAAAAATTTCTTTTTGACTGGTGGTGTAGAAATGTGTATGCTATGTTGGAATGACAAAGTTGACTAGAATGGCAAACCTCCCTGCTGATGGACTAGGTTAGTTGATAAGCCAAATCAGACAGAACCTGTTATTGTGGAAATTGGGGAAAAAAAGACGTGTATCCATCTTCCCAAGAAAGCTTGCAACATACTCGTAAAAGATGCAAAAGTATTTGCCTTACTGTAAAGGGCCAGACTGTGCTGCTTGAACTCAATAGCTATTGGTACTTTGAGTTTCAAGGTACTCCCTTTGACCTGATCATTTCATGGAAGACATGTTTAGGATTGCATTCGTGGGTGGATTTTCTTCTGTTATCCTTTACACTTGCTTGGCGAGACGAAATTTTCAAACACTCATTTGACTACTGAGGTAGACGTGGGGAGGCTTCCTCTTGCTAGCTACTTTGACCCTTCTGTTTCTGGTGAGAATCTAATCTGTTTCTCGAGTTGTCCTTTTTCTTTAGAACCAATTCTTTGTTATTGTATGGTAAATACCTATCATGAACTGTTTCTGCTTATTTGCATACACTGTCATTTAACAGTTTCCTTTCCCGATTTTTAGAACTCTGCATAATGAGTGTTATTTTTTCTGGTCTTGTTGACATGGTAGAATCGTTGGGCTATGATTTTGCCCTTGCTTTTTGCCATACACAAAAACCCAGCCCAAGTTTTTGGCCAATTATGTTTAACTGAACCTTTGAATATACTTGCCTCACTATGCACAATCCTAATGGACTTGATGTTCATTTTAACCGGCTTTATTGTGTCTTATATGCATGTTGACAAGTACTTTGTTACACAGTCTCGGCATTTGTACCATGGAGTACCAGCACCACATGATGTTGGTGCATGTGCTGACTGTGTATTGGACTGGCTGAAACTTGGATGGGAGTCTGGGGCTGCTTGGAACTTGATGAACTTTGAAGGGTTGCCAATCTTTGGTGAAGAATTTGTTGCTTTGGGCCCCCAATCTGCATTAATGGTGGTTCTGATGGAATTATAACTATAATAAGAGGTGAAATTTCCTGTGGTGTGGTGACGAGCATAGTGAAATTTGCACAATTTTAGGATAGAAAGTGATGGAGTATAAGCACCTGATAGATGAAAATAGATATGGTGTCGAACCGTACTCAGATAAGGTGTTGGTGACAGGTCAAACCATCAGAAGTGATAGTAGCTGTATCAAACATGGGCACATGCTGTTGATTTATAGTTATTTGAAAAGCCTGATGCTCTTCGTGAACTTATGCTTCTAATACCTTAAGATATAAAGTTCTTTTTTAAATTAGTTCTTCACTATCGACTCACTCGTTCCCAATTTTCCTCAATAAACCAATGTCCCTGGTCTTTGTTTTCCTGCCTTGTTTGTGAAAGTTGGTGGCTTCTCCTCTTAAAACTCATCGATGTTTTTGCAAATTTAAGCCAGGGCACTGCTTCAACTGCACCATCACCGAAAGCCCCTTGCAAGTCAACCATCATCTACTGATTGGCAATACATCAATCTTTGAAATCCTTTAGCTCACAAGAATTGAGAATACAAATAGGACAGTTTAAAACCTCCAGTGTCATAGCATAAAATAACTCAATTTACTCAGGTAGTTCCTAATGCAATCATCCATATCCATCCAATTTTCTGCAGAACCTCGTGACTAAATAGAGGGAAGAAACTTCCCTTTGACAAATTCCGTCCCTTAAACTCTATGGGGGTTTAGTCAAAGGAAATTGGCTGTTGCTGTCGATTGCAGATTACCATAAGAAATTATTGGAGATTGGAGATTGCGGGTTACAAATATGATTGCTCTTGGGCGTGGGGTACTGAGGAGGTAGTGTTACAATTTCAGAAGGGGTTGGAGCGCGAGACAGGATGAGTATTATTCAGGGATATTATAGTCTGTTCAGGAAATAAGAGAGATGGGGTACCAATATCTATCTTTGGAGCACCCGCATTACTTCCCTTTAAAATGCTATACATTAAATACTTACTCTAATTAATTGGCCAATAAAATATCATTAGACATGTAACATCGTATATGTAAATATTAATTGGAAGAAATAGTACAGAATACATGTATGCGTATATTGGCTTTAGAAAAAGAAATTTATAGACTAGCATATCACAAACCTGTTTCTGAGTCTCTAGTCATGTCAAAGTATCCTTAATTTTGGAGATGAGGAACCCAACTCCAATACACACACAGGACATATGCAAGTTCCTTTCTTCTATTAAAAGGAAGAACTCTTTTTTTTTCTGGGTTCAAAGATTCCATCTTCATAATTCTTTGAGATGTCTGGAGTCTAAATTTTCAACTTTTTCTGTTCTCTGGATGTAAGCTGAGTGCATATTCTTCTTTTACACAAGTCCTGTTAATGTTAAATATCTACAAGCATATTGTCGCTGTGCGGAGGCTATTTACAATTATTCTGGAGTTCAATCCGATTATATGTGATGGGGCTCATATACGGAGATTTTTTTCTGCCACTTAGGGTAGGTTGCCTTGTACTTTATGAAATTTAAATGACATTGTAGTTTTGTCTGTGTGCACTTTTCTCTTTTCTTTTTTCCCTGTAAGTAGTGTAGTTTTATGGTTGCTCCATTCAAACATTTGATATGCTATTTTTGCATTGATAAGTTCACTTTTTTGAAATTTTGTACATCTGAAGAGCCAAAAGAGTGTTATTTGTTGTATAATCTTTGTCAGATATTCTTCATGAAAGCACAAAATTCAGTTTCTTATCTTTTTGAGAAGCTTAAAAGATCTGGCAATGGGAGTTTTATTTATTTATTCATTTTTTTTTGTTTTCGCTAGCTTTAGCTGATGAAGTTCTTTAATGAGTTAAGTTTTTCATTGAATTCACAATTTGGTTGAAACTCAGAGTGAGATATCAATTTTTCTTCTTCTTAAGGATTCTTTGATGATACTTGCCTGAAATAGACATTTCAGCTTTGGTTAGGGAGAATAGATTGGCTTTTAACATCAGTCTTGGTTCCTTAAAAGTTCCTTGCATCCAAGTCATCTGCTGTCAGTGCTATAGAATTTTTTGACTTAGTTGTCAAGACATCTTCAGAATTGATGCGGGTGATCATTTAAGCAGAGAAATGATATAGTTCTTCTTGGTATGCTGGTTTTGCAGAAGATTGTTTCAGGTGTATATGGTACTCAAGTGGTCATCTAAAGGTGCAATAGTAGATCCAAGGTTTTGCATACCATGTCAGGATTAGTTTTAACTTGCAGACAACAGTCAGAGTTTGGTGTCACTTAGAAGATCCTAGGAGGAGGTAAACTAACAATGACATTTATTACCTTATCCTATAGGTTTTGACAAGGCGAATAGGTCAGGAGAGATGTAGTGGATTTCTCTTTAGATGCTAAACTTTCTTAACCTGAAAAGTAATTCTGAATAAGTAGGTAGACATTAAAAGATGGATTCGTCTCTTTTTTCCTGCAAATCCCTTCTTGTCAGCGAAGCAAGCATAAGGTTTCAAAATACAGCAACCAAAATTCATTGTAGCAAATGTTCATGCCGCATAACCTTGATATCAGCTTGGATTTTGGATGCAACTTAGATCCTATAAATATGAGGTTCACATATCCATGTGCTCATGGAAAAGAGTCAGTAAAAGCTGCTATAGGCTTGATACAAAAAACAATAATGGAGTAATGATATTAAAGATTTGTGTAAAATATTGCTTGCTCCAGAGTTTGTTGTCTTAAAAATATTCTCGCCTTTATTATTTGCTGTGGGTATACTTGGTTCATTGTTTCTTTCCCCTTTCTCTTCCCCTCCCCACCTGCATTTTTTTTTTTGGGGATTCTTTGTTGTTTATATACTCTCACTCTGTCTATTGCTGATTCTTTTATGTGCTATACTACTGCCAGGGTTAGGGATAGGATGTTTGGCTGGATGGGTGCTGTGTCTTTCTCATGCATATCTTTGCGTACTTGTAGACAGTCTTTTTGTTGCTCATATCTGCATTATTGTTCATTGTAGGCAATTCCAAGTCATAGTGCTCGAAGAGCCTTGTTTGAGCACTATGTCAGAACTCGCGCTGAAGAACAGCGAAAGGAGAGAAGGGCCGCTCAAAAAGCTGCAGTTGAGGGGTTCAAGAAATTATTAGAAGAAGTGAAGGAGGTATGTGTGGTTATCTCTTTAGTTTGTCCAGATATAAATTCCAATGGATATTTGAGAATTTCTTTCTAAACATGCCCTACATTCAGGATATTGATGATCAGACTGATTATCAAACATTCAAGAAGAAGTGGGGACATGATCCGCGCTTTGTGGCCCTGGAGCGAAAAGAAAGAGAGGCTCTGTTGAATGAAAGGTATGATCTTGGGAAAGTGTTCAATACGTGCTTGGGATCCAGTTGTTTAGTGGCAATTGTCTTTTAATTATATTTAGCTAGTTCCTAGTTGCTGCTGAGAAACAGCTGGAATCTGTTCTTCTTGAATCCTTTGGCCAGAACTGTTAAATTAGTAACACAATAGGCTGATAATACTGATGATACGCACAAGCATAAGAGTGTCTAATTACCATCAGCTAGTCCAAGAGAGCCCTGTACCTTTTTTGATGGATACATTAAGTGTATTGGTGTACTGAGTCCATGACTTTTATGTTAATGGTTTCTAGATAAATAGCATGGATTTCAAATTTCAGCTACAGATGGAGGGAGGGAGGGACAGGGGGTGCCCCGGGGGGGGGAGTTGAAATTGCCTAATGATGTTCTATTAGCTTGTAAGTGTGATTGATATGAGCACTGCTGTCAACATCATTTGTCCCAGTTAGTAACAGATAGAAGGGGACTGAAAATTTCCCTGATACAAATTATTCTAATGCAGTGTACTACGGTTGAATGTTACTTTTACGGAGTTAAGAGTTCACTGGTTACTCTAGCAGTACAGTGGTTATTTATTTTAGGACAATACTTGTATTTCCTTGTGTGTGATAGGGCTTCTTTGATCATCTACATTATCTAGGTTATTTGGATCTTGGGTTTTTCTTGGCAAGGATTTGAAATTAGTCTAGATTTATAGACTAATACTGTGATCATTGTGTTTGTGATGTCGAATAACTCTGTTGCTGTTAAGTTAGCCTCCGGCCATGGTTTTCTCTTTGTTTACCTAGAAACTTAGACTTTGATCACAAATCAAGGTAGTTTACCTTTTCCTTGCACTACAACCTGCATCAGATGTAGTTTTGTCTCTCTGGTATTTGTGCTCAACCCTTTCCATAACATGAATTACTGCATATCTTAAGATTGTTGATAATGATATCCTGGCTTTTAAATAGAATGGTAAGTGTACATTTAGTATACTGTTGAAAAAGCTCCTTTTATTTTTGCTCTTTTTCACTTTGTCATTCTGGCTGCATCATGACTGTTCTCTGACCTTATGTTATTGGTCTTTTTCTTTCATCTCTGTGAATCTATGATATACATTAAATACTATAAGAGAAGATCTCAACTTTTTTGCAGGAGATGTAAATGAACTTGATCTTACATTTGAACTTGATCTGAAGATTGTCTTTAGGAGAATAATTTACTAGCATTTTTGGAAATGGGATTTAGCATGTCCTTCATATCTTGTCTTCCTTTTTCCACGAGCTTCATAATTGCTGGAAATGTCATCGATGCGATGAATATAGTAAAGTTTTGTTGATACACAGTTTATTCTGCTTGCAGGATCCTTCCACTGAAGAGAGCTGCTGAAGAGAAGGCTCAAGCTATTCGTGCAGCAGCCATTTCTAGTTTCAAATCAATGCTCAAGGAAGGAGATATTACTTCAAATTCTCGCTGGTCAAAGGTTTTATAACAGTTTTTACATAATTCACTTGTTTTTCTTAACCTTGTTTCAGCTTTTGTCTCTTGGGATGTTGTTTGAAAAACTTGAAATCTAGTTTCCTCTGTGTTGTCAGTTTTCCTGTGGTTTTCTTGTATGTGCTATGACTAATTCATAACATATTGTGGCTGAAAATGCTTGGTCATTGTTAAGTGTTCTCTTAGATGATTTGTATTTTTCTTTTCAACCTCGCATCCAACTTTCTCTAAGATAATCATTATATATGACTGGTGGGCAAATGGATATTAAAGAGTATTTTGAATTTGTTACACATTGAATTTCACTTGTCATTGTTAATGTTCAAATCAATTACTACATACTGATTAGTAGCTTGTATCTACCAGCTTATTCTTTTGATATTCTAAATGTGTATGTCTCATCTCACTCACCAAGCTTTAGTTGGGTGTCTTTTTGCACATGTAGCATTGGTGGTTTCTGCCAAATTGCGCTTCTTTGATCACATCGAATTATTTTTTTCTGGCAGGTTAAAGATAGTCTGAGGAATGATCCTAGGTACAAGTCTGTTAAGCATGAGGATAGGGAGGCTTTGTTTAATGAATATATCGCTGAATTGAAGGCTGCTGAAGAGGAGACGGAGCGCATAGCAAAAGACAAAAATAGTGAGGAGGTAAGAAACTGGTTTTCACTCACCCTCAGGTGCTTGATTCACTTTCTTCTTCTCAGATGTAGGAAACTGTTAGTTATGCTAATGCTTTATTTAGCCTTTTTGCGTAATGTAAACATCAAATCTCAATCAATGGTCAGTTTCACTGTCTTCTTTCCTCAGTCCTTGTGTTTGTGTGGATATATTTTTTTAAGTTTTTCAGGAGCTTCTTAGTTAGGTTCATTTTTTTGGAATGATGATGCATATTTTACTGAAAACATTGAATGTTTTAACCGTTTCAGTGAGCTTTAGCCATTTAGCAACTCCTGGTCCCTTCTTTTACAATTTGTAGTGGAAACTTTGAAACACTTGTGAAAGCAGCTACTTTAGAACTAATAATGATGGGTTAGAGACCCGCTTAGCGAGCATTGAAATGTGGAAGCTACTTGATTCTCCATATACAACTTGCATAGAGGTTGTTTAAATGTATTAGCAAAAGAATGAGCTTAGAGGACATTCCATCTAAATGAGTTCCACTGAAATTAGATGTTAAGAATGACATTAGGTTACATTTTGGTATATCAAATTGGATTGGATAATTCAATTCTGACCTTTATTATTTTTGTTTTTGTTTTGAATATCTTTTTAGCAAAAAAGTAGCACGGAAAATGGGCAAAAATTGCAAGATTTATTGGTGCTCCTCCACTTGGATTAACTGCTTTTGGGGGTGTTTTTGAAATATTTTAGTGCAGCAATGTATGTGAAAAACTTTTACTGTAGATGTTTTTAATGGTGTTTTTGAAAATATATTTTGGGGCATTTTTAAGATTTAAAATTTTAATGGGGCATTTTTAAAATTTTATAAAACCTTACAATGGACCACCACCCCTTCTGCCCTCTCTCCTCCCCCCTCCTCCCTCTTCCCCTCCCCTTTCTCCTCTCTTTCTTCCTCTCCCTTCTTCCTCCTCCCTTCTCCTCCCTCTTCCTCCCCTCCCCTCCTTCCTCCTCCCCACCCCTCTCCCGTTCCCGTCCCCTGCCAACCAGAGAGGGGGGCGGGGGAGGGGGAGAGGGGTGGGGAGGAGCGAGGAGGGGAGGAGGGAGGAGGAAGGAGGAGGGGGAGGGGGAGGAGGGAGGAGAGAAGTGGCGACCAGAAGGTGGGGGGGAGGGGGTGGGGAAGGGAGGAGGAAGAAGTGGGAGGAAGAAAGAGAGGAGAAACGGGAGGGGAAGAGGGAGAAGAGAAGAGGAGGTGGCGGCGGCGGGTGTTGGTGTGTGATGGTGGTTGGTTGGTGGTGGTGGTAGGTGATGGGTGAAGAAGAAAGAGGGTTTTTTCTTGTGTATTTAAGATGTGTTGTGTTTTTGAGTTGTTTTTAGAGTTTATTCCTGTAGACTTGAAAGACAAAAACTGTTTTTCAAAAAACTCTTCAATCCAAATGGATCGGGTCCAGGTAGTAATCATTGTTCCATGTGGGCCTGAATGGACTTGTTCCATGTACTGTGGTGATGATTCTTGTAACTTTGCAGGTATTCTAAGAAGGTGCCTGGAAAAGATGGTCTCTTTAGTTGTTGATGTTGTATATTCCTAACCACTGATTTCGCTTTGATGAATTAGTAGTTATCTATTTACCTTGACAATATTTTGGAATTGTAATAATATTGAGTTAAATGCTTATATGGTGTATTTTCATTGCTTGTTTTGTTTATTAACTCAATTCGACTTTATCAAAAAAGAATTCCCATCCACTTGTAATTTTAAGTATATGTTTAAAACTCGTGAAAGAGCCAGAGAGTTGGTTGAGTAAGATTGAGTTTATTGTCTTTATTTTTCTCCTACTTAGATGGATGTTCTTTCATCCAATGTTTCCTAGGATAAACTAAAAGAAAGAGAACGAGCATTGCGCAAACGGAAAGAAAGAGAAGAACAAGAAGTGGAGAGAGTGCGATTGAAAGCACGTAGAAAGGAAGCGGTTGAATCTTATCAAGCTCTTTTGGTTGAGAGCATTAAAGATCCTCAGGTTTCACTTTATGTTTTGTTTCAGAGTGATTTTGCCTTTTGATTTCTGACATCTATTGGAATATTGTATTTCCTGGGAATCAAGAATAGTTAGAAATTAGCGAACCCGCATGTTTGAATATTATCCTGCCTCATTTATTTTCAATTCACATCAAATAAGGAGATGCTTGCTAACTGGGTTGTTTGTAATTTTCCTGTAATTTGTTTGTAGAAGTTTGCTAACTGATAAAGAGTCTTGCTTCATTGCTATTTATTTATCTATTTATGATGAAAATCATTTCACAATATTAAGGTGAATCACCAAGATATTTGTGCTTGTTAACAAAACTTGCCGGTGACCAGTGCTACATCTCAATCTTTCGGGCTTTCCCCTTTCCCTCTCCCTTTTGCTACATAGTTAATGTTGCATCTATATTTCTGTTATGCTAGTTAATGTTGCATCTATATTTCTGTTATGCTGTTTAGGTGCGTCTGAAATATTTTTGCTGTTGATGAATGGCAAAAGGTTGTATCCCTCTCCCTTCTGCTTTTCAGAAGCAATATTGCATAATGTTCCAGACATTGTGTGAGGTTGCCTCTGTAATATATCTGCTTTTGATAAAGTGGGATTGTATTCTAATTTTGCAGTTTTAGTAAAGTACAAGATGTGGCTTGGAATACCATCTTGGTACTGATTGTAGTTGTAACCTTCACTAGGATGGAAGTAAAATAGTGGTGAAATTCTGCGTGCTGGTGAGGATACTGTTATTGAATGCGAGAGGTGCAAGGCAAGTCCCGGGTAGAAAAAGTTTGTTAGGTTTATCCTTTTCAATAGACTAACCACCCATTCGGTATGGGGAAATTACTACTATATAATGGGTCTGAACCTCTCAAAACTCTTACATGATGTTTAGTTGGTAACTGTCAGTATGAATCAGTCACTATGAAAGACCAAAAAGTGGCCAATAGCCAATCCGGACCAAATTGGAAACTTTCTCATCCATTCTGATTACGGCAGGAAACTTGAAGCATGAAAAAACAGAAAAGGAGAAAAGCTGTAGCCAACGGAACATGAGAACATCGCTGTTCCCTCTTATCTGCCTCCCAACCTCTCTTCTGCCTACTTCTTCATCATTATATCTCCCCTCATCTCTCTTGTTCTTCTCTCACTCCATAGGCTGCTTTTTCTTCCCTGATTAGAACGTCTGACTGGAGAAATTGGAGCTGCTGGTATGTTAGTTTTTCTTTTTTTTTTTTTGTAATCGGCACTCAAAATTTTCCCAGATTCAAAACAATTGTCATTGAACTGGTTTTGCTATGTAAAAATCTTGTCCATATAAACTTACGCGGACTGGTCTTGGTTATGTTTCTAATTTCTAAGCTTGATGCAGCCATAGAACTTTCTATGTTGATTGACTGTGGGCTTTCATCATAATAGCAAGATTATTTTGGATTTTGGTCTTGATTTGCATGGAAGAATTGTGGTTATGCCTTGGTGTTGGTTTTGGTTTTGGGTTTTTGTTGATTTTGTTGAGTTACAGAAATAGAGCTTTCTTGAGATTACTCGCTGTAGGTGGCGAAGGCTGACAATGGTAAGAAATTAAAGGTTTTGGTTGACAGTTATAGCATGAAGACGTTGAAAGAAATAAGAAAAGAAAATAGAAGTTGATTCCTATACAAATACAAACACTGCCAATCATTTTTAAAGGGAATCCCTGGTTAATTGATTGTCATTGAAGGTCATAGTCGTTGCCATTGCTGATTTGAACCAAACGGGTGGTAAAATGGTTCTTTTTGCTAATTTTTTCTAGCTGTAGGTCAACATTTCCTTGTTTTGGTATCTGACTTGAAGGTTGTTAAGTGGCATCTTGGAGATAGATTAAGATAAGAAAGATAAAAGGACAAAAGGCTTTGTATTGTCAAAGAGAAATCGAACTGATGTATTCAAGGAGTTACATTTTCCCTGCTTGGTGCTTTGGAAGCAAAAACCAACCGAGGAGTAGCCTTTTGTTATTAATGTTGTTTTATTGGCTGTGGTAAAAGTTGTGTGGAGACTACAGGTGAACAATTTGAGGTGTTTTCCTGGTTTGGGGTTCTGAGGTTTACCTATTCATGTGAAATGGATAAACTAGAATCAAGATTTTAGGGGATTAATTTTTAGTGTAATCATAGGGTCTAAACATATTATTGTAGATGAGAGAATAAGAAAAGATTAGAACAGAAAACAGTTTATAATTTGTCTTAACCAATAAACTCAATGCCAGGATATCTTTAGAGGGTTTCACTTTTTTTGATATATTTTCTGGTTCTGATAGGAACCTTGGAAAAGTTGCATAGACCTGTAGCAATCTTGTACTTTATGGGAGAACTCATGTCTACCACAAACTCAGAGGATATGTAGTGTAGAGACTCGAAATATAACCCAGTAGAAAGGTCAAAGGTCAAATGACCAGATATAGAATGTGTAGTTGGTATTGGTAAAACCTATTTGGGAACTGAAGAAAATAGTTCAAAATGGAGGCTGTTGTAATGAAAGTAGTAGTGCTTTGTGCCTTCTCATGATGACTTAAAGTGTCTCTACTAACCTAGAGAGTACCCAGTCGGGTGATTAAACAGAAAAGTAAATTGTTGCGCGCTTGGAAATGTCTGTAATTTTTTATTCTTAAGTACCTTGTACGAATTACATTCTCTTTGGGTGATTAAACAGAAAAGTAAATTGTTGCGCGCTTGGAAATGTCTGTAATTTTTTATTCTTAAGTACCTTATACAAATTACATTCTCTTGGAGTTTGCATAGTATACTATGAGATGGTTAGCAGGAAGCAGTAGAATATACAAGGTTATCATGACATTAAAATTCCTTCATATATAAGCATATAAAAGTTTGACATTGTCATTCCTTTTGTGAATCTAGGCAAGTTGGACAGAGTCAAAGTCTAAATTGGACAAGGATCCCCAAGGACGTGCAGCCAATCCTAATCTAGATCAATCCGACTTGGAAAAGCTTTTCCGTGAGCATGTGAAGATTTTACATGAGGTAAGCTGTGTTCTCTCTTAGGTCCTGAAGTAGAATGGATCTCTTACTCTTATTCAGGATGCTTATGTTAAAAAGTGCAAGTGAACCGGAGTCTGGGAAATCAACTATTTACTTTTATTTCTTCTTAGGAGAATGCTGTTCCAAGCTGTGCCTGCATGTGTTGTTGACTTTGTAACCTGAACTTAATCCATTCCAAGAAGCCTTAATTAAGAATTGAGCATTCATGCATTGCCAGATATTTGTATTGAGTGATCAAAATTTTGTTCTGTCTTTTACCTTAGTGAAAAAGGGTACATGGTGTTTTTTCTATGTTATGCATGGTGGAGTTGGTGATTGGGTATGTATAGGTTGTCCTAACTTGTATGAAATGTGATCAAATTTTGGTTATATCTCCTTGACTTTTGTGTGGAAAAAAAAAAGTGTTTCCATCTGTGTTGTTTGTGGGGCATGATAGGTGAATAGGCATGTAGGTTATCATTTATACAATATTTTAAAGTGAGCTACGTTTTGGGGTCGGAATGCATCTAGGCTAAGCACTTGATCTCACATTTCTTTTGCAGTTTATGTCAATGAATTGTTTGTGTTGACAGTAAAACAGTAACTTTTTCTGTTTAAACCACATGTTTTTCCTTTACCTGTTCAGATATGCTGTTTCTTTGCTGCTTCTCTGTGCTTTCTATGTGGAAATGCTAGTGGAGTTAGTGTTATATTAGTATTGAACTGCAAACAGAGATCTTTACATTATCTTTGAAGACTCTAGCTCAGCATTCGACAAAGATTTGTATATCAGTCATGGACCTCATATGGTTAGTTTAGCACTGGATTGTTTAGGTCAAATTGCAGGTGGTGGCACCACTATTTTTATCCAAGTATTTGGTCTACATGATTGAAATTTTCTAATCAAAATATTTTGCAGCTAGTTCCTCAGATAGCAATTTTTTTTCTGTTCAGATCAAATCTCTTTAACTGTTCAGGTGTCACTTTTCTGTTTGTGCTTCATAGAAATTGCATTTTTTTTTGGGTATCAGCTTTGAGCTGCGAACAGAGATCCTTCTATTGTCTTCAAAGGCTATCTCGGCATTTAATGAAGTTATGGTTATCGGTTATTGGACCATATGTCTAGTTTAAATGTTGATTTTCTTGTTCAGTTTTCAGTTGGTGGCACCGTATTTCTTGTCTAAACATGGGATTAGTATATTAAAATTTGTTTAGATATTCAGAAATTTAATGTTGATTCTAATACAAATAGAATGCCTTTATGACCATTAGGACAAGCAATATCAGAGTACTATCAAGTCAATTAGAACTGCGCCAATTGTGAAACTTTTGCACCATTATAGATGTGAGTTGCATCGTTCTGAATATTACATACGGTTATGACCATCTTGATGTGACTTGTTCACCTTCTATTCAACATAATGATCTAGAACACATTGAATCAACAGCTTTCAGTACCAAGCTGGAATACCATTTCTTGGAAATCTGTGTGCTGCAGGAGAGTTATTGAATGCAGTACATTTGCATGGTAATATCATAATTTGAAGTCAAGTTGTATGGTGAACTATAGGATAATGTTCCCACAAGAGTGTTGTCAGAACTATATCCCCTGGTATCTTCCTTGTGTCAACTTTTCCATTTGAGTATCAAATATACCATGGAGGGGTCTTTTATGACATTGTTTATCGTCAGTCTATATGCCCTAAACACTTTTTTCTAATGCTATTTGCTTGCCAGTCATGGATAATAATTATTCATAACCTTACCCTCAGCCCTTGAACACTTTAGGAACTGCAAACAAAATCCCCAAAGTTGGATTTGTATATATGGTGTTATTATTGCCATCTAAAAGTTAAAAGCATTTTAAATATCTTCCATTACTGCAGATATACAGGGTTTCAACTCTTCCATAGCTATGTTTCTTTTCGGTATTTTATCATGAGGGAACTGATTTTTATTATCCCAAAGAACCCAGGGGTTTGAACAATATTTCAAGTTGTCAAGATATATGTATCACGTACTAGACGAGATTGGTTGCTTCTTTGGGATTGGGTGAATGTGATAATGGATTTGCTGGTCTTTGTGAGGTATCAATCTTTTCTAAATGCTTTTTGACATAGCGGGACAAGAAGACTAATAGTTTACTCAATTTTCTTTTCTTTATGGATGTAGGTAACTTTCTGATTGTTGTCTAGCAAGCATCATTTTGAGCTTCGTTCTGCTCTAAAGCTGGTCTGTGTGTCATGTTGAATTTACACTATGAACAAGAATATTAATGATGTCTCGGGGGAGCAAGCTGTGATTTTTTGTGGTTCTTTTTTCTTTTTGCTACTAAGTCCTCTATGATGGGGAAATCCTTCTTGTAGATCTGGAAATCTTCTTTCCCTTTAATTTATATAATAGGCAATTATTCTAGATATGGTTTTGGTGGGTATAGTTTCGTCAGAAACTTTTTCTCAGTTTATGGCCTCCTGGAATAAACAAATTTGTGTTATAGTAATGTATGCTAGATTCTGTTGTTGATAAAGCCAGAACCATTGAATTGTGTCAAAGAGGTTCCGTGATTGTCCCTTTGTGGTTGATGTATTCCATCGATAATTTTGACGAGGAATGCATTTCCTACAGTTTCTGTAGATAATTTGTGGTTGCCATTGAGAAATGGAAGAAATTGATGATTAGTCTTTACATGTTCGATTTTTTCATGCTCCTTATGGTGTTTGATGTGATAAGCAAAAATCCCTGTCAAGTTTCTTCTCAATTCCTTAGATTGAGGTGAAACTATTTGAAAAGTAAATTGCAATTATGCTGACATTTAATGACTTTGGAGGCGTGTTATTATTATTTTTTTTTTGGGTACTGATGTTAAGAGAGGGTCGAAATCTGATTAAGCTGTAACTAATGCCTGGTGAATAAATTGTCTTGCTCTTGCTAATCCCTTTTCATTGTTTACAGAGGTGTGTTTCTGAGTTCAGAGCTCTATTAGCCGAGGTTGTAACTTTAGAAGCTGCAGCTCGAGAAAAAGATGGCAAAACAGTTCTTACGTCGTGGTCAACTGCTAAACATCTTTTAAAAGCTGATGCTCGGTATACAAAGATGCCAAGGAAAGACAGGGAGTCCTTGTGGAAGCGACATGTAGAGGATATTCAGCGCAGACAAAAGTCAGCACCTGATAGAGAAACGGAGAAGCACAAGGATGCGAGAAATAAAAGCTCTGTTGACTCTGGTAAAAATGTAATGGGATCAAGAACTCATGATAAGAGGTAGTCATTTTTGTGGCACGGTTTACCCGATAAACAGAATCAGACTTCTGATCGGCAGTCAGTGTCTAGTGGATCAACAAAAGCTATGTAAAATAGTGGTTTTAACTCTGGTATCTGAGATTATATTACTTCGGAGTATCATTTAATGGAAATGATTTTTGTTATTCTTTGAAGGGAAATAATAATTTTTTTTGGGTTAATTTTTTAGGCGGGAAATGAGTGTTTGAAGCCCTACTCTATGGTGAAGAACCCAGTATCGACTTTATGACATTTGGTTTGGGAGAGAAGCGTGGATGGAAAAATGAAACTTGTTTTGCAGTAGTTCTATCATCAAATCGTTGTACTTCACTGGCTTGGTACAACTAGTACTAGAAATTCGAGTTTAACATATAGTAAAGATGAGGCCAAAGGCTTAATACGACATTCTTTTTCATTTGTAAAAATGTATCTTTGCGAAAATTTGGAAAATGGGAATAAGAAGATTTAAAATTCATAAGTAGGTATGAAACTTAGGAATTTTACGAAACTTGAAAGTGGTTTGTTGGAAACTGTTCATGATTTATAAACAAATTAATGTTGCAAGTAATATCATGAAATTACTCTTTATGTGCACATAGTGGCGCACTTGCATATTTGAGTGTACATGTGTACACTTACATTGATTTAGATGTGCACATTTGGATATATATATTACACACAGACAAAAGGAAAGAGCACAAGTGTTGCACGTGTATATTATGGAGTATTGCTCTTCATTGTTGAAATCTGTTTGATACAATCAGTGGTTAAGAAAACTCAAAACTCTGACTTTTTTAAATTTCTTTTCCAATTAGGCAAATCACTTGATGGTTGATTAAATTTGTTTTTTCTTTCCTTTCATCATTTCCTATCTTAATTGCTTTTGGATTTGTTCATATCATTTTATAATATTTATCTTTTGGTTATAGTATAGCTTATTTGTAGATAACAAGAGTTATTTTAAAAGCAATAGAAATTTTTTGCCATTGATGAGAATATAGTATGATGATAACCTAATAAATGATTCGCTATGCATATGATAAAAAAAAACAATAAAATTGGTTTTTTTTTATAATATGATTTGAACTATATATATATATATATATATATATATATATATATATGTATATATGCAGATGTAGACTTGTTTTCACCTCATTTATTTCAACCTTTTTTTTCCTTCTTCTTTTTAGTTAATATTGACAATTACTTGATAATGCACCTTCAAATATATAAACCTGATAAAGAGGATGCGAACATGCGTATTATGGGTTTGTTTGAATATGTAATTATTCCAAAATAAAATTATAATTGCATCATAAACTTATTTTCTAATCATATTTTATTTTTTAGACCGCCTTTTTATCTCACCATATATTACATGACAAAAAGTGCAACAATAATAAAAAATGTGACAATGCATAGAATAGAGATTTCTAATTATTAAAAATGTTATTTGGATTCATAAATATTTTACTTTGACTATTTATAAGTATATTTCCCTTATACTTTTAGAATATATGCATTTGGAGATTTGCTTCAAGCTTTATTTCGTATCGACAAGAGAAGCTCAAATTCTTTGTTTTTTTTTTTATTTCTCATTCCTGTGATATGCAGACTGCAGTATGAAGAATGCCTCATCAAAAAACATTTTGTTTCTTTCTACTTGTATGTTTAAATTACCTTGACAAAGTTATTTTATTTATTCATCTAGCTTTATTCTTGAATGAGTACAGAATGAGTACTGTGTAGTCTCGAGGCAGAAGGTGAATCAGCAAAAGAGTTGCTTTTTGGTCCATCCCAACTTATCATCTCAACGTAAGGTTGTGATAGGACAAATAACCGGTTTTCAGAGAAAGACACTCCCAATTAGGTATCTTGGGTGTCCTTTGTATATAGGTAGAAGAAAGAAGGTGCATTTTGCAGATATATAATTCCATGGCTAGTAGAGTGCTATCTTGGAAGCATCGGGTATTATCTGCTGGAGGTAGACTAGTTCTAATGAAAAGTGTTTTAGCTTCAATGCCACTACATGTGTTGGCTGTGGCTTCACCTCCACAAGGCCTTAGGGACTTGGAGAAAATCTTTTCACATTTCTTATGGGGGTCGTCAGAGTTTGGATCTAGATTTCATTGGATCAAGTGGGAAAAGCTATGTCAACCTTATACTGAAGGGGGAGTAGGCCTTCGCAATATGAAAGATATCGTTGGTGCTTTCTCTATCAAGCTCTAGTGGAACTTCAGGCAGAAAAGATCTCTTTGGGCAGAGTTTATGTCTGCAAAATATTGTAGGGGTTTGAATCTGTGTTTGGCAGATGAAAGTTGTGTCTAATCTTATACGTGGCGCAAAGTTACAATCAGTGCAGAGTGTAGCAGAGGAGTATATTAGCTAGATTGTCCGCCAAGGTTGGATGGTTTTTTGACATGAAAATGTGTTGGACAATGGTGCTTAATGTCGTAAGGTCGAGGTCTTCCATGAACATCGGGTGGTGGACTTCATTTTGGATGGGGGCCGGAATGTTCGGGAGCTTCAGCAATTTTTGGAGGCGGTGGTGGTTCAGCAGATTGTAAAAGTGTGCCCCCGTCCTTGCAAGGTCAAGATAAGATGGTGTGGATGCTTACTAGCTCTGGTGAGTTTTCGATTGCGTCGGCCTACGAGCTAGTGAGGAGGGTGTCCAGTTCCTCTCTGCTCTTCCCATGTGTCTGGCATAAGAGCATTCCCGTCAAAATTTCTTTCTTTATGCTAAGGTTGTTGTGTTTTAAGCTCTCTTTCATGCAGCAATTGAGAGGGTTCGGGATACAGGGTCCTTCCTGGTGTTTTTTTTGTCAAGATGCCCTGCAAGAGGAGGATGTGGATCATGTATTTTGCACCAGTGAGCTTGCGAGGTAGGTTGGAGATATTTTGCAGTCCAAGTGGGTGAATTCTCCTCAGTGGGTACTATTCGGCACATGGTAATGATGTGGTGGTTGCGCCCATCAAAAAATGTATAGTTGACGTTTGTTTATCACATCCTCCCTCCATTACTTTGGTGGGAGCTGTGGAAGGCAAGAAACTCCATGGTTTTTGATGGAAAGAAAGTGGTTCATGGGGAGATTATGAGTCAGGTTTTCCAGCAGCTGTGTGAGCTCTTTCATGCGCAATACCCAGAAATGAAATATTCTTTCTTTTCTTGGACTGAGTTTCATTCTTTCTTGATTGGTCGGTCACGGAGAATTTAGGTATTTCCAGTTAAATGGTTGGCTCCTGTGGTGGGTTATAAATTAAATACTGATGGGTATTCTAGAAGTAATCCAGGGCTAAGTGGTGGAGGCGGCTTGGTACGGGATGGACATGGTCCATTCATCTTCAAGTACTCATGCTTCTTTGGCAATTTGACAAGCTTGCATGCGGAGCTTAAGGCGATGCTCTTTGGAGTCTGGCAATGTTTATCGCGTGGTTATGATGCCTTGCATGTTGAAACTAACTCACTTGTTTTAGCTAACATGATTCAGGGAACTTCTGCATGTCCGTGGGAGTTGCAAGGGGAGTTGGAGGAGTTGTTGAGGTACAAGCATTATTTCAAGCTATATCGCATTGCTATGGAGAGGCAAACAAGCAAGCTGATAGACTTGCTAACTCAGGGGTTGAATTACAAAAGACTTATGATACTTTTGCGACACTCTCTGGCATGGTTCATGGTGATGTCAGGCTTTGATAGATTAGGTTACCCTAACTTTCGTACAAGAATTTGTTAAGCTTAGCTTGCGTAAGGACTCGTTTGTAATGTTATGAGTTAGAAATAAATTGGGGTTGGCATTCTCCTCGTGTATGAGATTTGCCAAAAAAAACAAGCTTTGTCCTTTGTTATGAATAATTTCTCACAAATACTTGTGGTTCCACTGGTCTATTTGTTAGATTTTTGTCAACCATTTGATTAGTGCATACTTTATGAAATTTCTTTAGAGTATTAGTTATTTACTATTGCAACTAATCATCCATTGTCTTATTACCTCTGTTTTTTTTTTTTTTGTACAAATCCCATACACAAGGGAGGGATGTCAGTCCTTAAATTTATTAAAATATCAAATTAAAGTGAAAGGAGGTGATCTAACCTGATCTCCAAATTACAAAGCGAAAAGCGATAAAAAATGAGTACATCAAACGAACTAAACATAATCTAAGAATGCAATCAATTATCTTAGTACATCGTACAATTCAATTTGAAGAAATAAAGCACCATTGTTATTGCTCCAACCAAGCATGGTAAGTTTTTTTTTTTTTTTTGGTCATTCTTTTTTCACGTGACTTTCATAGGGTTAGAAATTTGTGCTTTCTATTTTTAATGTATTTTTAACATTTTCTTTTCAATTTTTAGATGAAAAGTTGATATACAATTGAAAAGATACTGCGTCAACCAAAAAGCCTAACTAACTGAACTAAAAAATTGTAGATTGTAATGATTGACAACCCAAAAGATTGATAAACAAAATTAAAAAAAGGACTGCCGTGTTTGAATATTAGTAGAAAAGAGAGAGGCCAAATTGCTAGTTAACTTCATTTTTTCACCATTTCAATTAAGAATGTCATTTCCGACTCTCAAAAAGTAGAGGTTTACTTAGTTTGACTAAAATGGAAAAAAAAAAATCTGGGTCATTGATTCTCATTTTTTGCTATTTTGCTCAAGCTTTGATAAGTAAAATTTGACAAGCCTGACCAAAATTATAAATACTAGTTCTATATAAATCTCCACAATTGTTTCCATATATAGAAATATCGTGGGATAGACTCATATCCTCACTTGTAATTAGGGCTGCAAACGAATCGAGCCGCTCGCATCAAACTCGACTCGAGTTCGAGCTGACTCGAATCGAATTCGAGTTCAAAATATTAAGCTCGTATATATATATATATATATATATATATATATATATATATATATATATTATTTTTTTATTTTAAGTATATATATAATTTTTTTTATTTTTTATTTTAAGTATATATATTTTTTAATTTTAATAGTAAAATTACATAAATATCCTTAATATTTTATTATTTATTAAGAAAAAAATATTATTTTATTTATTTTTAAAAAAAATAAAATAATTATTTTTATTTTTTTCGAGCTCGAGCTTGGCTCAAATCGAGTCGAGCTCGAGCTCGAGCTTCAAAATTGCCAGCT